AATAGAATAGCCGGATGTAGAACGACGAGTATCGGGACAACCAGCCCAGTCAGCATCCGAATAAGCGACTAGCGTACTAGGAACAGTGGATGGACGAAAGGTAAGACCAAAGTGGAGTGTTCCTTTGACATAGCGAAGAATACGTTTGACAGCAAGAAAGTGATCTGCAGTAGGGGCATGCAAGAATTGACTGACAGAATTGACAGCATAGGCAATATCTGGACGCGTAATAGTCAAGTACTAAAGGGCGCCAACAAGAGATCTGTAGAGAGTAGGATCAGAGAAAGGAGAACCATCAGCAGTCAGGTGTTGAGAAACAACCATGGGAGTGTGAACTGGTTTGCTATCGAGCAACTGAGCACGAGTAAGAATATCTCGAGCATATTTTAACTGACTGATAAAGAGACCATCAGGAGTGGGTGAAGCTTCAAGACCAAGAAAGTAACTGAGAGAACCCAAATCTTTGGTAGCAAACTCAGAATGAAGCTTGCGAGTAAAGCTATTAATAAGAGATGAGTTGTTGCCGGTAACAATAATGTCATCAACATAAAGAAGCAAATAGATAAGGTTAGATTGCTGATGAAAGACAAAAAGGGACGTGTCAGCGCGACTGCAAGAAAACCCAAGTGTGAGAAGAAATGAGCTAAAACGCTGAAACCAAGCACGAGGAGCTTGCTTTAAGCCATAAAGAGCTTTCTTTAATAGACAAACATGCATAGAAAATCGAGGATCAACATACCCAGAAGGTTGTTCCATATGAACACGTTCAATAAGCGTTCCATTGAGAAAAGCATTCTTGACATCAAGTTGTCGAAGAGGCCATTTATTTGTGACTGCAATAGAAAGCACAACACGGACAGTGGTAGCTTTGACAACCGGACTGAAAGTGTCAGTGTAGTCAAGACCAGGAACCTGAGTATAACCTTTGGCAACGAGACGAGCCTTGAAGCGCTCGACGGATCCATCGGGCAAATATTTAATACGAAACACCCATTTAGAGCCCACGATGTTGGTGTTGGCAGGGCGAGGAACCAAAGTCCAAGTATCATTTTGTTGTAACGCTCGAATTTCTTCATCCATGGCAGCCACCCAAGCAGAATTTTAAGCCGCATATTTGAATCCTTTTGGCTCAGTGGATGCAAGAAGAGCAGAGAGAAGTCCAGATGAGCCCAACATACCAAGATTTGCTGGATGACGAGCCTTGAATATACCAGCTTTGGCGCGTGTGATCATAGGATGAGTGCCCAAAGAAGAGAAATCAACAGGAGGTTCAATAGAGGTCGAATTAGAAGTCGAGGGTGGCAAAGTGGAACCTGCAAGAGAAGTATCAACCTGCACAGACTCATCTACAAGGTCAGAACAAATATCACACGGGGATGAACTGGATTGAGGAATGTGCGGTGATGAAGTGGTAGGGGGGGATGAATCAATATGATGAAGATGTGGTTCCAAGAAATTTGAAATAGGAATAGTGGAAAGAGGTTGGGCTTGGGAGCTAGGGATAGCAGGAAAGTGAGTTTCATCAAATTGAGCATGGCAGGTGATATATAGTTTAGTGGTGGCGGGATCAAGACAGCGGAACCCTTTATGAACAGGACTATAACCCAAAAAAATACAAGGAATGTTGCGGAGAGAAAGCTTGTTAGGCATATAATCACGCAAATAAGGATAAACACAACAACCAAAGGGATGAAAATTGTCATAATGTGGAGTGTAGCCATAAAGGAGTTCAAAGGGTGACTTACCTCCAAGAAGTGGAGTAGGCAACCGGTTGATAATATAAGCTGCAGTGCTGAAGGCGTCAACCCAAAAACGAGGAGAAAGATGAGAGTGAACGAGAAGGGCCAAACCAGTCTCAGTCACATGACGATGTTTTCTCTCAACACGACCATTTTGAGCAGGTGTATATGGACAAGAGAGTTGATGGTGGATGCCAGAATTACGTAAATGAGTTTTGAAACAAGTACTAGTAAATTCGATACCACCATCGCTTTGAAATACCTTGATACGAGAAGAATATTGATTTTCCACAAATTTTTGAAATTGAAGAAAAATATCAAAAAAATCATATTTAAATTTTAAAGGGTAAAACCAAGTGAATCGAGAATAATCATCAATAAAAATAGCATAATAAAGAAAACCCGAATTTGATTTGACAGGAGAAGGACCCCAAAGATCACAATGAATAAGATCTAACACATGAGACGACCTACATTCATTGCGGGAATAAGGCAATCGATGACTTTTCGCAAGCTAACAAGTATTACATAATGATGGAGAAGGCAATAAAGACGTAAGAGAAAAATGACCTTTTTTATTTAAAAAAGAAATAACAGAATGATTCACATGACCCAGACGAGCATGCCATAAGTCATATGAAGCACGTAAAGATTTGTTTTTAAGGGCTCAAATAAAAGCAGAGTTGCCGCGCTCCAGCACATATAGCCCTCCATCTCTTTTACCGATTGCCACCACCCTTCCTGTTTGATGATTCTGGATAGTAATAAGATTATTAGTAAATGTAACAGAGAGAGGAAAATCAGACGTTAATTTACTTATGGAAAGAAGATTTTTAGTGAGGTGAGGGACAACCAAGACATCTAATAAGTGAATATTTGGAACAGGAGAAAAAGTACTGGTGTGGGTAATGGGTAGGGATGCACCGTTTCCTACGATCACAAAGTTCTTACCCGTGTAATTTTTAGACTGATCCAGAATTGATGGGTCGGCAGTCATATGGGCCGAAGCTCCAGTGTCCAGAAACCAATCAGCAGCATCGGGTCCAGCAATAGAACATGACGTGTTAAAGGCTTCAGCAAGGTGAGCATGAGAAGAATCGGGTCGAACATACCGTTGGTTGCAGCGGTCAGCATAATGGCCCTCTTTGCGGCATATTTGGCAATGAGGTGGTCGACGACCCTGACTTGAGTGGGTTCGTCCTCGATTAGAAGAGTTGTTTTTGTGAGAATAAGAACGACCTCGCTGATTGGTAAAGGAAGCAGGGTGACTTTCATGGGTGCGACCACTATTAGTGGCTGTGAATGTTGTAGGAGTGGAGTCAGAGGACTCAAGGGAGCGCTGGAACGACTCAAAACTTTCAGTTTTAAAGACTAGATCTGCAAAACAGGGGATAGGGGTGAGAGCCATCTGAGCAGTAGAAAAAGCTGAAAATTCGATGCCGAGTCCACGAAGGAACCAGTGCACTTTATCAATGTCCTCGACGGGTCTGCCAATGGCATGAAGTTGGTCACAAATTTTTTTGAAGGCACGGGCATACTCAGCAACAGGTTTTGTGCCACGTTTCATCAACTGCAAGTCATCCTTGAGTCTCAGTTCACGAGCTTTTGACTGATGGCTGAACGTAGTTTCCAACGCAAGCCAAACATCACGTGCAGTAGAGAGACCAACGACAACAGTCATGGCTTCCTCAGTGAGAGAGGAGAGCAGGAGACAGAGAAGTCGTTGATCGGCTGCTCTCCATGTCAAATATTTGGGGTTGAATGTTGAGGAGGTTTCTGGTTCAAAGCGAGGTGGTGGAACCATAGTTCCATCGACATAGCCCAGCATGTCTTGACTCTCAAGAAGAGGGAGAAGTTGGCTTTTCCAAAGAAGATAATTGGAAGAAGAAAGTTTGATGGTGATCATATGGATTAGAGTATTGAAAGGAAGAAGATGATAACAAGATTCGGAAGCCATAGAGAAGAAAGGATCAGGGTTTTTAAACCGAAAGGGCTCTGATACCATGTGAATGTTTGATTAATCCACCACACCCAAATGGTGGTGAGAGTTCTCTTATTTATAATCATTTACATAATACAGAAATAAGAAGGTAAATTACAAATAATAAGGAAATAGCGATAAAAGGAAAGAATAATAAATGAATACAATATATTTGCATTTAATAAAAGGGCAAATATGGTAACCTGTAATGTAAGGCAAATATCTAGATATTTGCCTTATAATGAACGGTCAACTATCCTTAACAGTTAGACTTCGATTATAGTGAAACCACATGATAAACACCTACTCAAAGAGATTTAGAGCACTATTCAAAGACTAGGAACACGAGGAAGAATTAAAAATGAAAGATTTATTGGAAATAGAGACGAAGTGGTATAGCTAATCCACAGTGAAAAAAGTGTTAAGTAGTGAATACTCAAACATTGATGAAGAAACTAAGAGGAATCGACGGCAAGAACCAATTTTGACTCGTTCATGAACAGGTTGAGTTACTCTTTTTGAAATTGAATAGATATTTCAATGATTCGAATCCGACCTTGAGAAATTAAGAAGGAAGAGTTTGAATAAATCCAAAAAAAAAAATGAAAAGCCCAATAGGATTTGATGACGAGACGGAGTGATTTTAGAGTCTCGAGATACGCTTGATTAAGTTGTAACACCTAAAAGTTGTCTAATCATGAATTGAGACAAACGACGAAATACATTCTAAGAACTAATTTAAACGTAAGAGCTACATAAAGCCTACAAGTGGGTTGCTTACTGAATATTTTCATACTCATGATACTAGTATATTTCTCATCAAGAGATTGCAATTGTGTGGTCGAGATGGAAGCCTAAGGTCCAACGAAGCCACAAAGTCGGGGCAAAAAATATATATGGGGCTTAATTTCACTTAAGGCTAGTCATGAGCGTGTCAAGATCACGACGCCGCATGGTAAAAAATGTAGAACCATGACACGCAGCACTCACTTTAAACACTGAGTGAGTCAAGCCAACTTCGGACCACGTTACCTACGGTCGGGCAACGTGTGTTCAAATCTCGGGTCCCGTTTTGAAGGAAAAATTTAACAATATATAACTTTTCGAGTAGAGAGAATTGTACTACTAAACTAACCGACACGGTTTTTCAGTTTTCTAAAAATTTAAATCTAAAAAATTTTTTATATAAAAATATCTTTTTTTATCTCAAATATTTATTTAGTTTCATAAAAATCTCATTAAAAAGATAAAATAAAAAACACGCACGGATTTGGATGAGGTGAGAACATATCGGATGGATTCCTTATCCAATGGCATTAGCCCTAAAATCCGGTTGAGCGTGATTTCAATATTTTGTAGCTCATTTCTGTTCGCGCTGAAGAACAAGTAACCCTTTTCATAATCATTTTCAAACGAAGAACAATGCACCATTTCCATGAACACCAAATTGCGTAGCGAACGCCATTAACGAGCATGTTTTCATCTGAATTGCTCTCTCAGAGCCTCCATTTCATCAACCCATTGTCGAATCCCACAATTCCTCAATCACATTCCAGCTCCTTCACTCGCAGATTTCCAAACAAAACCCATCTAAGGAATGGCGCATCTTCTGCAGAAACCAGGGAACCCCATGACCCGATTCTTGATAACAGAGAGACCCATTTGATGAAACTCCTCAACAGATCCTGCAGAGCTGGGAAGCATAACGAGTCGCTCTATTTTCTTGAAAGCGTGGTGAGTAAAGGCTTAAAACCTGATGTTGTTCTTTGTACGAAGCTCATTAAAGGGTTCTTTAATTCGAGGAATTTAAAGAAAGCTATGAGGGTTATGGAGATTTTGGAAACTTATGGTGACCCTGATGTTTATTCTTACAATGCTATGATTAGTGGGTTTAGTAAAGCTAACCAAATTGAATCTGCAAACAAGGTGTTTGATAGAATGCGCAGGAGGGGATTTTCCCCTGATGTTGTTACTTATAATATATTGATAGGGAGTTTGTGTAGTAGGGGGAAGCTTGAGCTTGCTTATGAAGTTCTAGATGAGCTTTTGAAGGATGGATGTGAGCCATCTGTGATTACTTACACAATTCTTATAGAAGCAACCATTCTTGAAGGTAGAATCAAGGAAGCTCTTAAGCTGTTAGATGAGCTTCTGTCGAGGGGCCTCCGTCCCGATCGGTACACGTACAATGCCATCATTAGGGGTATTTGTAAGGAAGGAATGGAGGATCAAGCTGTGGAATTCGTTAGGGATTTATTAGCTAGAGGGTGTAATCCAGATGTGATATCATACAACATTCTGCTGCGTTCTTTACTTAACAAAAGCAGGTGGGGAGATGGGGAGAGGCTTATGAAAGACATGGTTTCAAGTGGGTGTGAGCCGAACATCGTTACTCATAGCATTTTGATTAGTTCATTGTGTCGTGAAGGTCGAGTCGAGGAAGCCGTGAATGTGTTAAAGGTAATGAAGGAGAAAGGGTTAACCCCGGATGCATATAGCTATGATCCTTTGATATCTGCCTTCTGCAAAGAAGGCAGATTAGATTTAGCCATCGAGTATTTGCATAAAATGGTGTCTGATGGTTGCTTGCCTGATATTGTAAACTACAATTCAATCTTAGCTACTCTTTGTAAATTTGGTAGTGCTGATCTTGCTTTAAACATCTTCGAAAAGCTTGATGAAGTGGGCTGCCCTCCAAATGTGAGCTCCTACAACACAATGTTCAGTGCACTTTGGAGCTATGGGAATAAGATCAAGGCTCTGGAGATGATATCAGAGATGATAGGAAAAGGGATCGACGCCGACGAGATAACGTACAATTCACTGATCTCGTGTTTGTGTCGGGACGGGTTGGTCGATGAGGCTATCGGATTGTTGGTAGACATGGAAGCTACTAGCTTCCAACCAACAGTGATCAGTTTCAACATTGTTCTTCTAGGATTGTGTAAAGCACACAGGGTTTTTGAAGGCATTGAGCTGCTAACAACAATGGTGGAGAAGGGTTGCCAACCGAACGAAACTAGTTACGTGTTGTTGATCGAGGGGATCGCGTATGCTGGGTGGCGAGTGGAGGCTATGGAGTTGGCTAACTCTCTGTACAGAATGGGAGTTATTAGTGAGGAATCATCCAAGCGTTTGAACAAGATATTTCCCATGCTTGAGGTTTATAAAGGGCTAAGTTTATGAGAAAGCAAGAACTGTGATGTTGACTACAAAATGTTAGCTTTTGGGCATCTCTTGTGTATTAATTTGAAAGGAAAAATGATGCTGATTTTGTTTTTGTTGAGCGCAGTGAGTTAGAAAGCAATGGAAGCAATATTTGGATAATTGGAGATGATAATTTGATAGATTAAACTAAAAAATTGGGCCTAATATCATTATCTTTAGCTGGTCTGTTCGGGATTCGGTATATCAAAATATGATCTTGTAACTTTTCCAATTTATTTTGAATATTACTGGTGTTCGTGGATTGAGTTGGAATCGAATAACAAAACATTTAGATTTAAATTTTCTAAGCTTGATGAACACCATTGAATCTTGCAAGTTTTAAAACACAAGAATTTCATATCCTAGAGGTGCACATGATCCGAATTGGGTCGGGTTGGAGGATTTTTTCGACCCAACCCAAAAGTTCGGGTTGGTTGGATTGGTAACCCAACCCAACCCGAAACTTTTCACGACCCAACCCAATCCTCTATTTTTGGGTTGTCAAATTTTTATTTTTAAGTTTTATTTATCCACCATTTATAATTATTTGGATACAATCTAAAATATATTAAAAGTTCACAAAAAATAATAATAATAATAATAATAATAAATTAAAAAAAAAAAACTAAGAACGAAAATTGTAACATAGTTCAACATTGTCATAAAACTAAAGACAAATAAATACCGACATTTTTTAAAAATTAGTTAAAATAACAAAAATATAAAAATAGATCACGAAATTAAGTAAACCATAGAAATGATTAGTTTAAGAGTATTGTATATAACAAAAATAAAAAATATATACAAATATTTTAATTGAAATATGCTTGCCTTAAACCATTAAAAAATATATATATATATATATATATATATATATATTTTGATATAATAATATTGCAACAAATAAATAATAAATATATTATAATTTACAATATGTTTTAAAGTTATATATATAAAAAAATTCTTAAACATAAGTATAAATTATAATTAATAAACATTTGAATTATATGTTTAATTATATGTTAGTTTATTTTAAAGTATTTTAAAAATAGTATAAAATGTTAAGGTATTTTTGAAATATACGTTTATAAAAGAAATTAAATTAAAAATTATTTAAAATAACAAAAATATAAAGATATAGGATGAAATTAAGTAATCATTATTGTATATAACAAAAATAAAAGATATATAAAAATATTTTAATTAAAATATATTTATTTATATATTGTCTTAAATTATTAGAAAAATAAAAATATATATAAATAGTGATATTTTAAAAATATATATATATAAAAGAAACTAAACAAAGAAATTAAAAATAATTAAATAATATAAAAAAAATTATACAAAATGTGTATATATATATATATATAACAACTTAAAAATAACAAAATAAAAAAAATAATATAAATAAAACAAAAATATAAAAAATAAAGACAAAAATATGAATTTGGCAAGAGTCAAACTCGAACCTGTCCTTTAACTGAACTCAGTAACACTCTGTCAAACCCATTAACTGAACTCAGTAACACTCTCGTGTCCTTTAACTGAACTCAGTAACACTCTATCAAACCCATTAACTGAACTCAGTAACACTCTGTCAAATCTATTAACTGAACTCAGTAACACTCTGTCGTGTCCTTTAATTGAACTCAGTAACACTCTGTCAAACCCATTAACTAAACTCAGTAACACTCTGTCAAACCCATTAACTAAACTCAGTAACACTCTGTCATCTGTGTCCTTTAACTGAATTCAATAACACTCTGTCAAACCCATTAATATTAATAAAGAAGTATTCTTAATATATTTTATATATTTTTATCAAACCCATTAATACAGAAGTATTCTTAATATATTTTATATATTTTTACTTGGCTCGGGTTAATCCGAAGGCTTTACCCATGAACCCAAAATCGAATTGATTCAGTTCAGGTTCAGAAAAATGAACTCAACCCTACCCGAAATGCCAATCCAACCCAATCCAACCCTTATAGTTCGGGTTGGGTTGGTCCGAGTTTCGAGTTGCCAGGTTGAATGTACACCCCTATCACAACCTTTATTAAATAATCAACCTAATCTAACCCACCATAAATTTGTTGGGTCGGGTTGGTTCGACTAATTGAGTATATTCAATTTTTTATTAAATATAAAATGTTAAGTGGGTAAAACATTTATTTATTTATTTTTCAAATATACAAATCAATTTGAATAAATATTTTTAGAACCAAAACAGTTCATATAGTATTATTGAGTTTAATTGATCCAATTTTTTTAACCTCAACACTTTATCGAGATGTTCTCTCTAAACTCTCTTTCTAAACTCCCCCCTCACACACAAGGCCTCCAGAAAATGAGTGTGAGGAGAAAGGTCGATGATGCCAACAAAAGGTTAGAAAAATATGTTCGAAAAAAAAATTCAAATTTCATTCGAGTACAAAATTTGTAGGTCATCCGTAAAAAATATCATTTTCTTTTCGAGTTCATTCGTGTACATGTACATAAGGTTTTAATCTTTTTTCTCCTCTCTTGTGGGCAATCTCTTGTGGGCAATCTTGTGAGTAGCATTACTGAAAATTCAATCAAATTATCAATATTGAGTGAGAAATGACATCAAAGGATAAAAATGCTTCCTTTTTTTTTTCTTCCCCCAAAAATTTGAGGTTTATGAAATATAGAACTTGAAAGGGTCTCTTTGACATATTTAAAAATTTTCATGATAGGACGACAACTATATGAACTCGTTATCTAAGAGGCACGAAACTACCCGTCTTCGTTCTTGATGGAAATGGCATTATCTTAGAACACTCCGAAGAAGTTGTATAACCTATAGAACAAATTCAATTCAAGTAAGATCAAGGTTATCATAGATATCAAAATCAACACAACTGCATTTCTTAGTGAAGAAGGTCGAGACTTACTTACAGATGATGTTAAGCCTGCTGCAAGCACCAAAAGACTTTCTGATCATAGAAAATTCAGTTCAATCAATGCAAGTAACTTGGAAACAAGCTTTTTTAGAAGTAGAAAACGGGCAGCTTCCATGGAAGGAGGAAGCAAAGATTCATGGATTCACCTTGCTAACTTAAACCAGACTGTATAACTTCCCAGGAGGAACCACTGCCTAAATCTCATGTAGCATTACATGAGGTATGAACTTTCCAAAAAAAAAAAAAAGCTTGGTTTTAAACTACTTCCTTGCCTAAAACCTTCCATTCTATCAAATTCTGACGTAACTCGTCAGCCTGTTCCTTTAAACCAGCAGACGCTATGCTGTTAATTATAGTTGAATATATTCTCTCATTCGGTTTACATCGACTTGATAACATCATTTCCAGAACTTGTATTGCAAGATCCACCTTCTTATTTATGCATAGCTCATGAACCAGATATCTGTAAGAACGACTATTGACTCTGTATCCTTCCTTAAGAAATCCTTTCACTATCTCCACAGCTTCTTCAAATTTGTTCGATCGACAAAATCCGCAAATTAGAGAACGTTGGGTGGTGTCATCTGGCAGGATCCCATTTTGTATCATTTGGTTGTATAAACTCGTTGCTTCATTGACGTAGCCCTTTTTCGATAATCCATTCAGCACAGTATTGTAGGAAATTAAACTAGGAGAACAGTTTGTGCCAATTAAAAGGTGAAGCAATTGAAAAGCCTCATCTACCATATCCTCCTTGCTAAGGGCATCAAGTAGAGTGTTGTAAGTTATAATGTCAGGCAAACGATTGTAGGCAAACATTTGATTGAGGAAGTTGATGGCACAATCTAAACGTCCATTTTTACACAGACCATTGATCAAGACGTTGTAAGTGACGACTGTTGGAGGCTGCAAATTATTGTTCATGATTGTCAAGAGTTCATAAACTTCATCCCAACTCCCACGCCTCGAAAGTGAATGGAGAAGGGTGTTGTACGTCACGTCATCAGGTACCATTCCGTGGAAAAGAAGATTATCTATAACTAAAGTTACATCTTCATATTTTCCCTGTTTGCAGGTTACGTTGATCAAGGAATTGTACGTGACAATATCAGGATAACAACCCACATTGGCCATTTCTTCCAATACTTCAATAGCACGAACCGTTCCAAGGTGCTTGCAGACTAATTCAATAAGGATTGTGTAAGTAATTAAATAAGGAGGAGTTCCTTTTCTGATCTGGTCCTTCCAAAATTCAACAGCCTGATCGAAACATCCATTGTCAAACATGTGGCGGATTACTGCATTATATGTAACCACATCGGGGGGGCAGCCACTCAAACTCATTTCATCCAAGAGCTCGAGGGCAGATTCCAAATGTCCTTTCTTGCATAAACCACCGATCACCATGTTGTACGTAATAACATCTGGAACGCCACCAGACATCACCATGATTTTCAGGACTTGTACAGCTTTATCCATTCCATCAATCTTCACAAGCCCACGAATCAATTTTACACAACAATGGAAGTCTGGAATCTGGTTTCGACAAGCCATAATATCGACTAACCTAGATGATTCCATCAACTTCCCCATGGTGCAGAATTTTTGTAGAATCATATTGTTAGTTTCTTCATCATTTCCAATGAAGGGCCCATCCATATACACCGATGAACCATTATGAGAACTAAGCCTATTTTTAGTCATTTTCTCAGCAAAATTTCTCCCAACCTCAATCTCATGACCATTCAAAGTCAATTCATCTTTGTATGCATCATCAACTCTATCAATGCAAACACTACTCTGCACTCCTTTACAACGCAAAACCCGTTGTTTTCTTCCTAAACCAGGAGTTGCACTCCAATGATAGCTATATGAACTACTGCAACTAGACTTGCACAAACAACTCAAGTGTACAGAAAATGGTTTTTCTTTTTCCATCAAGCATTGGCCACTACCAGTACTAACATACTCTTGCTTGAAACATTCATGGAGACCATTAAGTGTTACCATATAATTCTGGACGGTCAATGTATACGCCATAACAAACTCAAAAAGAAAAGCGAAGTGCCTCAAAGCTCTAAAAGGGAGGATATAATCAATACCGAGTAACAAATTCCAATCAAGAATTGGTACTTAGCAGAAATAGCTCACTTCATCTGATTCAAAGCGAATTTGTTGCTTCCTTCTGCACA